AGCTCAATTTTCTTAAGTAAAACTCACATATTACTACTAGTCCTTATAGAAATATTTTATTTTTTTTATATTTTTATTAAAAATGCAATTTTAAAAAAAAAATGCTTGAAAATGTTTCAATCAAACAATAATTTTTTCTTTTTTTTTTTAAATATAAATACATTAAACAATTAAATGCTAATAAAACAAATTTTGTAAATAGTTTATTTTTTTTTTGTAATAAATTTAAAATCACTCTTGTTAATCAAATATATATATATATATAATATCTGAAATATTTAATTTACCATACCTTCCTTATATAAATATATATATATAATTAAACTGCAGTCCATTAGTTTCTATTGAAAATTATATTTTCGCACAAAAATAAATGCTTCAAATACCTAATATTTACCTTACAATAGTAATAAGCCTTAAATAATTTTAATACATTAGTAGTACAAATACAAATTCTTAATTTAAACAAATTCAACTTTTATGTGAATTTAATAGTAATAATAATAATAATATAGGACTTTATATAGTCTTTAAGTTAATACGTTTTTAAAAATAGTCAAATTTTTCTTTTTTTTTTTTTGTAATAAAATATTCTGTTCCGGTAGTTACAAACAACCAACCCTACCGTTTAATATATATAAAGATAAACTTGTAACTATTAATAACATTACATATATTATTGCGAATATTAACTTCGAAGTATAATTTTTAAAAAAAAAAAAAAAAAATTTTTTTTTTTTTTTTATTACTTTCACAATATTCTTTCGCCTTTTCTTTCTAATAATACAAGTATTTTTACTAAGAGCAATTTTTTTTTTTTTTTTAAATCAAATTCTGTGTGTTTTTATTCCTTCTACCCAACTCTTTCTAACCTTTTTGTTTTAAGCAACTAAATCAAATAATTGAATGTTTTCATTTGGGTCCTACAGGAGCGGTAGGATTAGGTGGCTGCCTTGGAAAATTAGGAGGACCTCCTCCTCTATTTCCTCCCGGTTGACGATTATTATTTATATTTCTCGAAATTCTAGGACCTCCGCCAAGATTATTTCTAGGAACTGTAAGAATTCAAAAACATTAATTAAAAAAAACGTATTAAAATATTTTTTTTTTTTTTTTTGTAAACTACTTACTCTGCATTTGAGATTTATCACCGCGGTCTCCAGGTCCAGGTTTCATTCCAGGTCCTCGATTGCTGAGACCTCTTTTGAAACCTCCACCGTAAGAATCTCTGTCTCTATTGTTGTATTCCCCACGTTCTTTAAAGCTGCTATTATTATCCCTTAGATCTGAACCTTTCCCCGTTGAATATTCATTATTTCTTCCTTGGTATCCGTTTTGATTTTGATAATAATTCGGTCCCCCACCACTCCCCGGATTGTTTTGAGAATCTCGGAATCCTGTGAGAAAATAAAAAAAAAACCCAGATTTATAATATTATTATTATTATTATAACCGAGGCATATTAATTTTGTTATAAAAATTTATTTTACCTCCTGGCCTATTCGTTCTATTCCTATTTCCCTGATACCCGTTCGCATTGCGAGACATACCACCGACGTTTCTATTAGGTCTCCCCGTAGTAAATTTATTGGAATTTATGTTTCCTACATTAAAAATATTTAAATCTTTTTTGTTATTTTTTATAAACAAATACGAATCGAAAAAAGATAAATTTTTTTTTTTTCACCTTCCGATTGGGTTTGATTAACGGAATTCCATTCTGACGTTTCTACCCAATCATCGGCCCAATTTGTACTCTCCGTTTGAGACCAATCCGGCTTTTCATTGTCCTGCTTTTCCTTCATTTCACTGATAATAATAATAATTCAATATAAATAATAAGTATATAAGAATAAAAAATTAAAAAATATCTTATATCTTCTTACTTTTCTATTATTGTTGAATTTTCAATTTTTTTAGGTTCTCCAGAACCGACATTAACATTGTGATGAGAAAACACAGACTG